AGAGAAAAGTACACGTGTAGAGGCCCCAAGGTCAGAGAGAGCATGGACCGGAGGGTCTGGAAGAAGCCAGTAGGAAGAGAACGGGGGGAACATGACGCGAGGTAAGGCTGCAGGGCCCGACGGGGCTAGATCTGCACCTTGCAACACAGTAGCCACAAGCCACATGGGGTTACTTAAATTTAAACTGAAATTAATTAAAATTGATTTTTTAAATAATTACAATTATTTAATTTAAAATTAAAAGTATAAATTCAGTTCCTCCGTTACACAAGCCACATGTCAAGTCCTTGAGGGCCACATGTAACTAGTGGTACCATGTTGGGCAGCGCAGATATAGAGCATTCTCATCATTGCAGAAAGTTCTACCAGACAGTACTGGCTAGATCGTGAATGAATCGAGGAACCCATAATAAGACTCTCTCATCCCAAGGGCAGAGGGAAGTCTTAACTAATATTAAACAGCATTAGGAATGGGGAAAGAATCTAGCCGGAGAAACACCACTTTAGGAAAAGGGTGGAAGGTGAATTCCATGGATACACATCCCAGACATGTGGGCAGAGACCCAGCAGACAGAGCCCCTGGGACAAATCCTGCATGTGTTGTGGGAGTGACACTGATTTTCTTGGATGGCCATGGAAGCAGAAGCAGAGCGATCTGGAGGAAACCATGGGTGAATCAGCATGTTCCCGCAGCCACAGGGCTCCTGTGATGTGAAGTGTATGCTGGGTAGTATGCTGGGCGGTCATGGTCATGAGCCAGAGTCAGTTGCAAACTAGGCTCGGGACAAGGTGGGGCGGGCTCAGCTGTAAAGCCCGCCCATCGGAATGGCAGTCACTGGAGAGGGGACAGCAGTGGGAGGTGGAAAGAGCTCCATGCATCCTGCCCAGGATCTAAGTGGCAGGTTGTATGAATTTCCTAGGGCTGCCACAACAGATCCCCACAAACAGAGTGGCTTAAAACAACAGAAATGTATTCCTTGTCAGTTTTGGAGGCCAGAAATCAGAAACCAAGGTCGGCAGGGTTGGTTCCTTTTGGAGACTGAGAGAAAATCTGTTCCACGCTTCTCTCTTAGCTTCTGGTATGGCTGGCAATCCTTGGAATTCCTAGGCTGGTAGCTGTATCACTCCAATCTCTGCCTCCATTGTCACATGGCACTCTATGTGTATCTTTGTCCTCTCCTCTTAATGATAAGTATACTTATCTATTTACAGTTTACCCTAGTTCAGTATGACTTCATCTTAACTTTATGACTTCTGCAAGGACACGACTTTCGAATAAGGTTGCCTTCACAGGTACCAGGGTTAGAATTTGAACATGTTTGTTGGGGAGTGAGCACAATTCAACCCACTACATGTGGTTTTTAGGATAAAATGTTGGGCTTTGAGGTCACGGTGAAATGAGTCCTAGTACTGGCTCAGCCACTCACCATCTTGAACAAACCGCTTAGCCTGATTGAGCCACAGTACCCTCACCTGGAATGTGGCAATAATGTTTACTGCCTCGTGGGGCTGCTGAGAGGATCGCATAAAGCAATATATGTAGCACACGTGACGACGCTTGGCATATAAGAAGCATCCATGAATGATAGCAGTTCTGATTTCAACTATAGTAGGTCGCAGTCTGAGCAAGCAGTTGCCTTGGAGGATCCCAACCGAGAGGCAGAGTACAGAGATGGGGAATCTGAAGGGGATCATGCTTGGGAACCCAAGTAGGCAGGTGCCAATAGGGCCAAGAGACATAGATAGCAAGCTGGGGCTCAAAGGGGCAGATCTGAGTCCCTGGTGAGGACCCCCATCCTAAGAGAAGGCTGATCAGTGATAAGTTGTCAGAACTGGGACCACTGTCACAACTTTGTTCTTAGAACCTGGTAGGATGTTGCCCAGGTTTCAGTCTGGTATACAAGGCTAAGGCCTGACTAGCAGCCAAGGCGGCTGGATGCTTAAGACCAAAATATGGAACAATAGCTGCTTAAGTTCTTGCCTTCAGTTCTGTTGCTGGGAATTTGATAGAGCAGGTGGGGCCAAGTGGCCTCATGCAAGGATAGAGTAGAGTAGGAGAGGCTGGAGATAGGCAGGTCCTGACAGATTCTCAGTAAGTGGAAAGCAGCTTATAGGGTGAAGTAATGTCTTGGAAAGGCCATCCTGCCTGGACCAGAGGTTTAGAAAAGTTATGGAAAAGTTCTTGGTGAGGCAGAACGGGCCAAGAAATCACCCATAAGACCGATGAATGTGTTGGACAAGTCAGGGGTTTGGTTTATTCAAGGATGATTACTATAAATATGAGAGCAACAACCTTGGACCTTTCTGAGCCTCAGTTTCCTCCATAAAAAATATGGCGTTGGAATAGATATTCCTGAAGTTCTTTTGTCTAGTCTTGACAGCCTATGATTTTATGAATCATCCTCAAAGAAAACTTGCACAAGTGGGAGGAACCTGCCAAGATTGGGCCTTTCGTCCTGAATAATGAACTGAAACATCAAAGCCTTGACATCTGTTCTGCTCTTTCAAGAGAACTTGGACAAAATAATGCCATTTTCAGGGAAATAATAACCAATGGTAAAATATAGTATTTCCTGCCTAAATCAAAATTGAAGTGGAGAATTCCAGGCTTCCTGAAGCCCAAGGGAGAACACATATCAAAATTCCCCATGAAGAAGGTCAGGTTGACCAGCTGTCTTGCTGCTGTAGGCACGGAATGCTGAAGATGCTCCTGCCTCCCAACCTCACGACAGCAGAGAGCAGAAAGCCTGGCATGGAGATTCTGAAGGCTCTGCGTGGGTCTGGCAGGGAGAAAAGAGGCCTGTGGCCCTGTAGTTGGCTTTCTTACCAATCCTGAAACACTTCTTATGAATGAAACAAGCCTTGACTGCAAACACCTTGATCCCCCCAGTAACTAATGCTCTCATCCAACTTGCTATCAAAAGCCAAAGTCATTCTTGCCACCACTGACTTTGAGGTTCTTCCCAGGAATCCACTCCAAGCCCCGGAGGCCATTCCCAGAGACCAGTTCCAAATGCATTCTGAATAGTGATGATGACTTTGGGGTCAGAACAGAGCTTCCCAAAGCAATGTACTTTGAAGGGATAGGGCTGGGGGAGGTCAAGTTCTAGAATCAAAAATCCACTACACCCCTGTCATGCCAACATTATAGAGGCTCCTAGAACTTAAAGAATAAAAGAGACCTTCCAGGGTGCCTGACTCCGGCTCCCATCCTACTCAGAGTCCTATCCACAGCCCCCAAAAGGAGCTTTTTTGACCGGAAGTGCCATGAGAGCAGGGGCTAGGTCTCATGCTCACCTCTGCATCACAGACTGGTGCACAGTAGGTCTTGAGCAGATACACATTAGTCCCTCTAGTGAACGTCCCTGATGGTCCTCTCTCCTTTCGTTGCTTTCCTTTGTACACACCCTGAACTGAGAGGGCTGCGAAGAACTGGGGTAGCAGCAGCTGTCTGTTTCTTCTTCCTCTGCCTTCAAAGCTAGGCAAGTTCCCGCTCACACATTCGGAAATTCACAAAAGGAAGGTCCCAATATAAAATAATCCTTTGCAATAGGCTCCTCCTCCCTGTCTTTCCCATGTTCTGAGTCCTTGTGTTCATTGAATCCTTGTGTTTCATCCAAGTGTCAATAACCAGGTGTGGGAGATGCTGTTAGAAGGAGAAACATTAGGGTGAGCAGCATCGTGGTTGTGTTTCCCAGTGCCCACCAACCTGGGACATCTTCAGAGCCATTAGAAGCTCAGAAATGATAACTTGGTTCACATTCTAATGTGTAAATATCCATAGGAGCCTAAGGGGCAGCCTCTCAGAGGGAAACGTTATTAATTAACAAATATTACAGAGGCTGATATGGGGCTCGAAAACCGAGAAATGAAGCAGTGAATCAGCCACAGTCCCAACTGTGCTTAGAAACTCAAAGGTAAATAAGCAGATAAGACAAAAGTTTACATGGCCGCACATAGTGCTCTTCAAACTGAACTACCTAGAACCTTACCATGGGACGGAGTGAACTTCACGGGAGTTTAGAATTGGAGGCTGTCAAGGAGGGCTTCTTGGAGGAGGTGGCATATGCAAAATACTATTGAAGGTGGTAAGAGAACATTCTCTTACAGGAAGAGGACATTCTCAACAGGGCACAATGTGTGGACAGCGTGAAGGTGAAGATGGGATATGGTCAACAGAGGCCGTTAAATGAGGCCTCATTTAGAAAGGGAGCAGTGATCTAGGCTGGAAAGGTAGAAACAAGGGATTGTAGATTTCTAATCCTGAAAAGCTCAGACCAAATAGATAAAACTTGTATTATCCCCCTCATTAGCATTGTACTGGGTTAAAATTTAGCAACATAAGAATATTCCTAGCCTTCCCTACTCCTTTCCTTTCCTCCTCAGCTCTGCTCTCCTCCCTACCCTTGCCTCTTAAACAGGACTCTGGATTTGCCTGTTCAGTTTTTTCCCTGCCTTCTTCTTCCAAGGAGGCGTTATTTTTACCCAACTGGTTTTGGGGGCTTTTAGGATATTTAGAATATCCAGAATGGGGTGAAGCAGTTTAGAAGTGGAATGGAAAAGAAAACATTTAAATAAGGATTATTGTAGATTTCATGTCCTCTTCATGATGTTTGAAAGTCACAAATGAAGAACATGAGTGATCTTTAAATGTTTATAGGTTGCAGAACTGTATTTATTTGACAAAGCACCATTTTGAGAATAGACCACGTGGTTACAGCTTTAATAGGGATCCATTCTCTACATGCTTATGCCACTGTCATCTTCCCCAAGGTCATGAGCTCTTGGAGAACTGGGGTTAAGGCTAATTCATCATTGTCTCCCCGGCACCCTGGGCCTGGCCTGGCCCAAAAGAAGGGTTAGTAAATATTGAAACTGAAGAGCGATTAAATGATCCAGGGCTCAGGCAATGGATTTCACTCCAAGAAGGAGTGTTCTGTCCACTGCTAGTCTTAGGCTTTGCTCATTGTCTGTCTTTCTCTCTCTCTGTCTCGCTGCAGAAGGCAGATCTGGCCGTGGCCCCCCTGACTATCACACATGTCCGCGAGAAGGCCATCGACTTCTCCAAGCCCTTCATGACGCTTGGTGTGAGCATATTATATCGCAAGCCCAATGGCACCAACCCCAGTGTCTTCTCCTTCCTCAACCCCCTGTCCCCAGACATCTGGATGTACGTGCTCCTCGCCTACCTGGGTGTCAGCTGTGTCCTCTTTGTCATCGCCAGGTAAGGGCAGTACCTTGGCCAGAGCTCTGGCCCAAGGTTGGTGGTTTCGGGAGTCATGCAAGTCCCCACTCCGACTACTGCTGTGCATGCTCCTCTCTCCTTCTCTGCAGCTCATATCTCTTCGTATTCCTCAGGGAATATTCCATGGCAAGCTTGAATCCCCAAGTCGTTACCCTGGTCTGTGTCCATGACTCTGAGAGGCATTACTTGTACCCCAGGTCCTATGAGTAGGCTTGGAGAGGTTAAGTCATTGCCCAGGCACCCAGTAAGGCAGACCCAGGTGCACTGAGTGGCCCAGCGGGTGGCTTGACACTTGAAAAAAGGACTGTGTCCATCCAAGCCACAATAGTAGGGGGAGCAGTACCACAAAAACTCACACACATGCACACACGCAGAAACATGGCACATGTGCATACCTATTTGTCCATAAGACATGCTAGCAACACCCTTACATATTCTGTTGTTCACATGAAAGATGCTAGCACATCCTTGCTGGGGATGATATAAGAGGTCACTAGGGGACAGATTGAGACGTGCATACCTATTTGTCCGTAAGACATGCTAGCAACACCCTTACATATTCGGTTGTTCACATGAGAGATGCTAGCACATCCTTGCTGGTGGATGATATAAGAGGTCACTAGGGGACAGATTGAGCTCAGTGTTTACTAGTGTTTACCTAGTGTTTGCCAAGCACCATGCTCTGTCCTTTATAGCCATTATAAAGCCTCCCATGAAGAGGAGATATCTGAGTCTCAGAAAGGCTCAGTACTCTCCAAGGGCATCCTAGCAATAAGGGACGCATCCAGCATTTGAACTCGAGTCACCAAGTGTTTTATCTGTGACCCACATCTCTGGCCACCTGGACATCTGTCCTCTGCCTCTGCCCCAAGTGGGTGGCTACTGGGCCCAACCCCCCCACCCCTCCCTAGCTGATCCCTCTGCCCCCTCCATCCAGGTTCCAGCCCAGCCTCTGCCCTGGTTCTTTTTTCTCTAAATCCTAACAAGGTACTAAGAGAGACTTCTCTGGAGAGGCAATTTGAGATCCAAGGACTTGGTGTTTGAGCTTTTTTTCCTCCTGGGTCTTCTTTGAAAACCTTTCCCCCACCCCACTCCCTTTCGCTCCCTCCTCCCACACAGAGAGAGACCAAAGGGAAGGATGGGAGAAATGGAATTGTCCTGCTGCAAAAGCCCTTCGCTGCCTGTCGGCCTGGGGCTGCCTGCGTACCCTCCCAGCCAGCAGCCCAGCCTGCCACGGAGAGGCCTTCATTATGCATCTTGTCTCTAATGGTCTAATAAGACTTTGAAAGCCAGGAGCCACTCTCCGCAGCTCTCACCATAAATTTAGCAGCTTCAACCGGCCTCTCAGCTCCCCACCCCCTTGAAAACAGCTCAGGCTTTTCCAGCATCAGTTCTGCCCCTTTGATGTGCATCCCATCCTCCTCCCATTCCTGGCCTTTCATCAGCTGCTGGCAGCCATGCCTGCTGTATACCCCATCCCTTCTGGCCAGGTAAGTAGGAGATCCCTTCCCAAAATTAGGCTGGGGAGACATTTTGGGAGAGATGGGATTTCTGGAGCTGCTGGAATGACATGGGACACATAAGGAGAGAGGAGAGAGACAAGGGTCTTGGCCACAGACAGAGCCACAGACAGCATCTTAGTACAAGTGTCACATTGTGTTGCACTCATATGACACAATTTACACCCATCCCGTCAAATCCTTACACAGTCCCATGAGGTGGGTATAATTATCTCCACTTTACAGAAGCAGAAACTGAGGCTCAGAAAGTTTAAGCCATTGCTCAAAGTCAGAAAGCTGTTTCTTGGCAGAGTTAGGCTTCAAACCAAGACCTGTTGGACTTCAAATCAGGGGTGGCAAATGGAGGTGCCTGCCAGAGCCAGACAGGAACCATGAGCAAGTGAAGCAGGCTGAGTGGTGGGCAGCGGGAGTGATGGGGACTGAAGCAAACCGGAGGGAACACAGTTGGCGAAAGAGGCAGCCCCTACTCAGCTCCAGGAGATGCGCTAGGCAGGATGGGTGCCAGCGCTGCAGAGTTTCATGATTTTTAGAGAGAGATTGAGACTTTGACGTGACACCTCATGGCTTTTCTACGTAGCCATGAATTTGATTTTTTACAACACCGTTGGGGTCAAGCACAGCGCATCTGCACAGTGCATGTGGCTTGTGTTCTTTGTACCACTCCATGCTGACTGCTGGAGAGCTGGACACAGCTGCCCAAGAGATGGGGTCTCCAAAGGTGGGCAGATTCCCAGATGCACTCCATGGCAGCACCGGCATGGCCCAGGGTTTGTCCATCTTGCAAATTGGCGTGGCCAGGCCTGTGCCTGCCTACCGCCAGGGGTGTAGCGTTGTGTAAGGCATTTTTCCAACACCAGGATACTCTGCTTCATGACTTCCTCCAGGGTCTCTCCATCTCTCCAGACTGCTCCAGCTTCCTCCACGTTACATTTCCTCAACGGAAACTCCCACCATAACAAAAGACCCCTTCAGTTATCAGAACTTCTCTTCCTTAGAAGGCAGTGGGAGGCTTCGAGTAACAATTTTACGCATTTGTACATTCAAAGAGAAAAACCTGAAAAATTATGTAGCACGCTGTTCTGTCCCGGGGGCAGGATCATGGAGCACTCTCACTTTCTCATTGTATCCTACACTTCTACCGTTGGAATGTTTTAGGAAGAGTGTATTTTACTTTTTCTCACTCTAAGTTCTTAAGCAATATACAAGTAATTCAAAAATATAAATACATAATAAAGATAGCAATAAACAATAAATAAATAATAAATGATTCAAGTAATTCAAAAGCCCATTCTCATTTTTTTAAATGTATACGAAACACGTAAAGCAACAGGCATCCCTAAAATTCCTTCTACTGTTCTAACTTCCCCCCTCTAGAGGAAAACACTAATCTTTTTAAGGTACGGATTCTTCCGAACTTATTATACGCATTTATATACAAATGTACATGAAGATGGATCGCCCTGTCTTCGGGAATCTATTTATATAAATATGATCATATTGTTCTTATTTTTATCACTTTTTTTTTTTAACCAAACAATATGAGTTGAAGATCCTTCCCTGTCAGTACATCTAGAAGTGTCTCGTTCTCTTCTATCGGCTGCATGATATTTCAGAGTATGGTTGAGGCATAGTTTATTTCATCGTTCCTCTATTGAAGGACATTTCGGTTGTTTCCAGTTTTTTGCTATTACAAACAATGCTTTGATAAACAACCTCATGCTCTTCTCTTTATGCTCACGTAGGAGTGTTTTTTCAAGGATGGATAATGAGTCACAGAATCGCTAGGTTGAAGGACATGGGCACTTTTAATTTTAAGAGATACTGCTGAATTACTTTTATAACCAGCAAAAGGCACTAACAATAAAGAATAAGAAGCAAATTGGCCCTGATTTCCCATTGCCTGCCTCCCTAGAAGAACAATGAGGAAATTGATTCTAAAGTGGTCAGCACATCAATGTTTGCTAAACCGCCGGCTGGTGTGACATGGACACCCCATCCCTCTTCACCTTCCCTCCCATCTCTCAGCAGCTCACCCTCACTGCCTCCCTCTTCCTGCTGCAGGTTCAGCCCTTACGAGTGGTACGATGCTCACCCCTGCAACCCTGGCTCTGAAGTGGTGGAAAACAACTTCACTCTGCTAAATAGCTTCTGGTTCGGAATGGGGTCCCTGATGCAGCAAGGTATGTGCCCCATCCCCAGGGGGTCGCCTCTCCCCAGGGCCTCTCCTCTCCCTCTCTCAATGAGGAGGCCCAGCCTCTATGGAGTCAGCAGTCAGCCCACCCTCCAGGACAGCCTCAGACCTGCTGAGCCATCTCAAGGTTGGAGACACCTGGACACCCAGGTGTGTGCCCTTGCCCCATATCCCTGCCCTTTACCACTACGTGTCTGGGCCAGTTCAGGTTCCAAGGCTAAAGCAGATAAGTCATCCCCACTCGTGATATGCTGGGCTCATCCCCAGCCTCTCCTGCTTCAGCTGAGGTGGATATAGAGCATCCTACTTGTTGGGGCTGACCCCACCAATGGCCTCACCACCATAGCACCTGGATGAGCAAAGTTGGGCTGAGGATGGGGGGAGACTGGAGGCAGGGAGGCTGGGTGGGACGCCATGACAGGAATGAGATGATGAGACCTTAACTGAGGTAGTGGCCATGGGGTATAGGACAGGGATGGACAGGGACAGGACTTAGTGACTGCCTGGCTGTGGGGAGCCTGGGAGTAGGAAGGGTCATATCTGAGGTGAGGACTTTAGCCTGAGTGCATCGGAGATGGGATACACTGAAAGACACCATGTTCTTACATCCTCTTGAGGGAGGGCCAATGTATTGAACCTGACCCTAGGCTGGTGGCCCACCCTTTAGAAATATCTGCAGCTGCTCAAATATCTCAGAAAGCAGAGCATCTGCTTTGGCTTCAAGGAGTGTGGTGAAGAGACACCAGAGGCTGGAGGGATAGAAAGGGCCCCCAGGCTGGAAAGACCTCCAGGGAGAACACTGCCCCCACCCCACCACCAGCCCTGCCGACCAGAAGCCATGTGCCCATTGCTTCTGCCTATCAGTCACATGGCCAGAGCCTCTTATCTTGGAAAATGGAAAAACTCAAATCTCTGCCTGTGTTAGAGCCCCACTGAGGGGAAATGGGTGACAAGGGGGCATGAGAGGCAAGGGGATCAGGGAGCAAAGAAAATCTCCTTGTTCTCACTCACCTGTGTGTATCCTCAAGACCCAGCACAAACACTGGTCCTCAGTAGACATCCGCCAGCAAATGCTGAACAAGTGAATGAATAAATGAATGAATATTATCCCATTGTGTCCTTGCCCACTACCTGCCAAGCCCTGTGCTGGGTACTTGAATGAAAGAGCAGGAAGAAAGATAAATCTGCCCCTTACCTGAGTGATCTCACAGGCCAAGATCTGACAGAGGCCAAGACTGGCACTTGGGCCTGGGTAAGGGTCCAACAGAGCCTGGCAGAGCTCGCCAAGCAAACAACTAAAATAAGTCATTCTCCCTTTGGGCAGCTCTAGCCCTTGCTTGGAGCAATCTGGGGGAGAGCCAGGTAAGTGAGGCTAGGGCTGGCTGGTTGGGAGAGGAAGCTAAGGAGCCTTGGTGGGAAGTGACAGGCAGCTCTCAAGGGAAGTGCCTCATTCTGTCCCCACTATTAATGAGTGTCCCGAAGCCTCACCTTGCTTCTTTGTCCATCATCTTTGTTCAGTGACAGTTAGGAAAGTCCTGGAAGCCCCATCAATGCAGTAATAGCTTCTCAATTCTTCCATCTCCTGCTGCTATTCAAAGCACTGGCCCCTGATGTATTCCCTGCGAGGTTTTGATTAGGAGGGAGAAAAATAGTTGTGTATTTGAAAACCTCTCCCTTGAGTGATTTCTTTGAGAAAAAAAAAAAATCGTCTATATCAAAGCAGATGCTTTTCAGATTGAAGGTCCAAATATTCTGGAAAGTTCAGGAGTCACTTGCTATTTAAATCTCTTGAAAGCTGCCTAGTTAATTACTTCAGTTAGAAGGTTTCATCTAAATTGTGCCCCACACCCAAGGTCGAGGAAGAAGAGTGATCTATTTCAGCAAAGAGCTTCAAAAAATGTTGATTTTTCTCCTGCAAAGTACCACATAGCAATCTCGTGTTTGTATAACACTTGTATTTCCAACACAATTTCTCTCAAATTATATCATCGCAGCATCATAGTATTTGTATGAGGCTGGGACAGAGGAAGGACAATACTCCATGCTTTGCAGAGTCCTGGAGAGGGGAGGAGTCTGGCACAGGATCCTACATAGAGTCAGGAGCCGGATTCACTCAAGAACCCAGGGGTTCTGAGTCCCAGGTGTGTTCTGAACCTGGGACCACACAGAGGTCCATGGAAAAGCATCAAAGGGTCTGACGAGCCGGTGAAATGTTGTGCATCCTGTTCCACAGCAATGGTTCTTAAATTTTAGCCAGCATCGGAGTTACCTAAAGGGCTTATCAAACCCAGATTGTGAGGCCCTGCCCCTGATTACTGATTCAGTTGGTTCTGGGTGGTGCCCGAGAATGTGCATTTCTAACAAGTGCCCAGGTGATTCTGACGCTGCTGGTACAGAGACCACACTTTGAGAACCACTGGCCTAGGCAGAAGGTCTCGACTATTGTTAGATTGTTGGTGGGTCCCCCACCCAGAGGACCTGAGCAGCCCTGGTCTGGACATTGCCAGAAAACATCTGTCTCTTCCCTTCTCCCAGGGTCTGAACTGATGCCCAAAGCCCTGTCCACACGCATCATCGGTGGCATCTGGTGGTTCTTCACGCTCATCATCATCTCCTCCTACACGGCCAACCTGGCCGCCTTTCTGACTGTGGAGCGCATGGAATCGCCCATTGACTCCGCTGATGACCTGGCCAAGCAAACCAAAATCGAGTATGGGGCTGTCAAGGATGGGGCCACCATGACCTTCTTCAAGGTGAGGCCCTCTCCCTCCCACTCAGCACCACAAGCTGCCCCTCCCACAGCCTTTACTGTCCTTCCCTAACCACACAGAGCCAAGGAGCTAGAAATCCCCAGGGCTCAGCCCCTCCCTGCTAGGGACCAGTTGACTTTGGGAAGCCACAGTGATGTGGTTAGTTTCAGCACAAATCCTAAGTTTCCATACTGGGGACAAGCAGTGTGAATGTGCTGCCTTTTCTTAAGTCATCAGAGGAGGATAGGTGAGGAGATGAGGCTGGAGAAGAAGGAAGGAGAAGTCAAGCCAGATGCACAAACAGGCCCTGAAGCCAGTGGGCTCCCTGCTCTTGGCTTTGGGGCACAGCTGCATCCATCTCCACAAGGCCGCCCTGGGCTTGGGGGTGAGTTCTCCACCACTGAGAGGGCGACAAGGGGCACATCCTCCAAGGAATGGAGGAAGCTTAAAACTTAAACATGTATATATGAACATTCCTTAGCATGTTACACTCTAGGAACACTGGTGTCCAGATAAAGCCCCTGTCACCTGCTTAGGTTACTGCTCTGATGGGGATCTGGCTATGACTTTGCTGCTCCTCCTACTTAGTAAGGCATTTGGCTCAGATCCCCAATGTTTTTTCATCTTCAACTAGAGTGGCGGAGGGTTTAGGAGCCTGGCTGACCCAGAGAACCAGTAGCTGTAAGTGTTCTTGCTACCACTACCAAGAGCTTACAGTGAACCAGGCACTGTGCTAAATGCTTGCTTCACTTAATCTTCATGGCAAATCCTGTGAGTAGGTACTACAATTATTTTCACTTTACACATGTGGAACCTGAGGCTCAGGGCAGTTAAGTGGCTTATCCCAAGACTCACAGCTGAAGAAGCCAGATGCTGACCCAGGTCTGGAGTCCTCCCAGGCTCATGTTCTAGATTATGGTTCTCAGATTTGTGTGTGCATCCAAATTACCTGGAAGGCTTGGGCAGACCCTGATTGCTGGGCCTCAGCCTCAGAGTTTCTGGTTCAGTGGGTCTGGGGTGGAGCCAAGAATGTGCATTTCCAACAAGTTCCCAGACGATGCTGATGCTGCTGGTCCAGGGACCACACTTTGAGAACCACTGCCCTACTTCTCAGAAAGTGGTCAGGATTTGGGAATTCTGTGGCTGTAGTTTCACATATTCATTTATTTACTTACTAGTTAATTACTCTCAGTCTGGAAGCCTGGTCCCTTTCCTCTGGGCCTGGCTCCCCGGCCCCAGCCCTTGCCTCCTTCCAGGCTGTTTCTGAGGGATGAATTGAGCCTGCAATGGGGCCTAAATGAGGAGAGAAGGAAGGAGTCAGGTGGGAAAGCCTTCTCCCACCTGGGCACGGGAGCCCCACCAGCACTCTCTCCCACCCCAGCCTCCTTATGTCCCTCCTTAAGGGCAGAAGCAGCTTCTTAGTAAAGAAAAAGGAGAGAGGAAAAGGGCTCCCTTTTTGGATGTTGCTGTTGCCACTGAGAGCAACAAATGCGGGCTTCCTAAGAGGTCACTACCGTGTATTTAGAGTGAGGAGGAAGGAAAAGCATGGTCATAGGCACGTCAGGAGCTCTCTGCGACCCTGTGTATGCGTTCATGAGTGTGAGTAGTATGCGAGTATGTGATGCATGAGAGTGTGCATATAGCAGTGTGTAATACATGGAAATGTGCATTCGTGTGCATACGTGTGCTCACATGTGCCCGTGCACAAGAGTCTGCCTGTGTGAGTGCACGCGTGTTTGTGTTTGGGCGTGAGTGTCTACATGTAGGTATGTGTGGTATGTGTACCAGTGAGCATATGTACGCATGCACCTCTGTGATCTGGGCATGTGGAAATGTGCCTATGAGTATATACAAGTATGTGCCAGTGTGTGTACATGTATATATGTATGGAGAGTATATGCAGGTCCGTCTATTTAAATGTCTCCATGGGAATGCTAAAATTAGTGGGCGGGTGGGCCTCTGTGTGTAATAGCTTGTGTGTGTGTGTGATGGCTACTGCACACATGTGTGTCTGCATGTGTATATAACATCCTATTCATGCGTGCTCATGTGCATGTGTATGTGTGTGTGTGCATGCGTGCCTGCTCATGCCTATCCCCAGGCTGTAGCCCAGCCATCTGTGCCAGAGCATCTCTCGTGCACTACTCATGAACACATCTCTAAGAAGGGCTCCTGATCAAAGGGCAGGGGCGTAAATAAGGCCAGTGCAGGCTCGTTGCTGCTGATTGGGCGCCCTTGCCTCCCTCCATGCTAAGATGCTCCAACTGGTTTCCCAGAGCCTAGGCCCAGCTCCCCACCGAGCCACTGTCCTCAGCATCAAGCAGCACTTCTCGCAGCTTGCTCTGCCCTCGCCCACCTTCCCTGCAAATGGCATGGTGAGGAGGGTAGGGGAGGGTCTCAGATGCTGCCACCCAGCTAGGATGCTGATACTTAAGGCCCAGGCTCACAGGGGCCTCCTGCCAGAAACAGCATCTCTACAACACCCTGAAGAACCAACTTCTCTTCCTTACTCTCTTGATCATCAATTAATTCCTCTTGATGTCTGGCTACCTTGTCTCCTGCTTTAATTCCAGTGAAGCTCTCCTTGCCCAGGCTCCCTTTCATTGGCAGCAGAAGTGAGACTTGTTATGTAGGCAGAAAAGACCTGAATATGGATACATTAACACTTCCTTGGATGAGGAGCTGGAAGTACAACATTCTCTCAGAAGATCCCTGGACAAACTTCCTCCCGCTCTCCATAGTCATACCTCCCCAGCCCCAAGCCAAGTGGTCTCCTCTTTATTCCACTTTCAAGTAAGAGCTGGAAGGAAACCTGAGTTTAACCTGGAGAAAGAGGCCCAGAGGGGCTAGGTGATCTGCCTGTGAGCCAATCAATGGTGGAGCCAGAATGGAAGGTCAGATATTCTGTCTGTGCACATTGCCCTCTCCCACAATCACTCTAGGGTCTTCTTCTGGAGGGGTGGTCCCCTCCCCTGCCCATGAGTATATATGGCAAGACTGGCACTAGGGTGGAACAGGGATCAGCTCCAGGAATACCCAGAGATGTCCAGGAGACAATGACAAAGTCAACAATAATGATAACATTTATTGAGCACTTACTAAGTGCCAGGCATGTCCCCAGCATTTTACCCGTGTAGCAGGCCCCCCGTTATCCACAGAGGATACATCCCAAGACCCCTAGTGGATGCCTGAAATCACGGGTAGTATCGAACCCTATACATTCTGGTTTTTTCCTATACATTCTGGCTTTTTCCTATATATACATACAATTTATGGCTTCTCTTTGGCATATCTGAATTGCCAGCATCACTGTTCTTGCTCTCTGAGACCATTATTAAGTAAAATAGGGGTTACTTGAACACAAGCACCGTGATGCCATGACAATTATTCTGATAACTAAGACGGCTGCTAAGTGACTAATGGACGGGAAGCTTATACGGTGTGGATACAGTGGACAAAGGGTGATTCATGTCCTGGGCAGGACAGAGCAGGACATCACAAGATTTCATCATGCCATTCAGAACACATGCAATTTAAATCTTATGAATTGTTTATTTCTGGAATTCACCATTTAATATTTTCAGACTGCAGTTGATTGCAGGTAACTGAAACCTTTGGAAGTGAAACCACTGATAAGGGTGGCTATTGTATTTACTCATATCTTCCTCATAACAACCTAGAAGATAGAGACTTGTGATGATAGATTATTATTATCTCTGTTTTACACATGATGAAAGTAAGGCTCAGAAAGTACCTGAGTTTACACTGACTTGCCTAAATCAAGCTAGTGAAATGCAGAGCTGGGATTTGAAACCCAAGCCATCTGGCTCTGGTGTCTATGTCTTTGTCATTATGTCCATATCACTTCTCTAAGGAGCCAGCCAGTCCAGGAGTCAGCTGGGGAAGAGTGAAGCCACAGTCAGTTGAGCTGTATTCCCAGCCTAGACCAGTCCTGGCACATTGTAGTTGCTAAAATAATAAATGAGATAGTCTATCTGATAACTGAGTGTGTGTGTGTGTGTGAGAGAGAGAGAGAGAGAGAGAGAGAGAGAGAGAATGCCATTGTTGAATTAAAAGATGGAATTAAAAGATGGCGGGAGCCGAGTGGAGCCAATGCAGGAGACCGTGTTGAGGACGTGAACCAAGAAGGTGGCAGCCCTGAATGTCCTAGAATACAGGCAGATGAACTTCAGTTCTGTGGTTAGCCTGTGTTCCTAGTCAGGCTGCAAACCATCTTAAACAGCCCCCCAGCTAAGAGAAGAACATGAGGGAAAGAACGCATTCCTATCCAAAGACAGGGATGCTGGGCTCTCCGGCGAGCTCCAGATCCCTCACCATCCTCCCCCCACCCCTGCAGCCTGGGAGACGCATGGCTAGAGGCAGCCCCATCATTCCAAAGGAAACTTCATTTGAAGAGTTGTCAGGGAGCAGCAGACATCACAAACGGCGTCTCCTATGTTGTCCTCCCGCCGTCTTGGCAGATAAAAATTAATTAGGAGATGAAAAAGGAGGCCTTTCAAAGCACTGTTTGGCTGTAGAAATATGTAGGCAAAATGTAAGGGAGAATGTTGGCGAAGCATGTTCTTTGCAGGGAAGGCTGAGCAGCTTTGAAGGGAGAGAATGTCAGAAGACAGCTTCTCCCAAGATTGAGCCTTCTTTGGTGGGGGGAGTCATATCACATGTGGGTGGGGCCGTGTGTGAGAGACAGCCACTTGGGAAAGGGATGGGAGCTGGTGGCCAAGAATTCCAGGCATCCCAGGTCCCTGGCATTGTCAAATCCTCCTCTTGCACAGCCTTGCCCCATCCTAGCACCTGGGCCGAGAAGGCACTATGAGAGGCCATTCAATACACACGCACTCCATGATCTAGAGCACACAGAAGGGTGCTCCCCAATCTCACCTTCCAGTTTCTCCTGACCTGTCTGCTGGCCTCTCCGATGGTGCCTTAGCCCTGCCTTCAGGCAGAAGTAGGGTCCGAGGACCAAAATGCAATGACCAGACAGA